GAGAGCCTCTATCGAGAGTATGCGGTCTGCGACCTGAAACATTACAAGTCTGGGAATGTGTGTCGTTGACATGTTCCCCTCGTTCGCATGACTAACGTCCCCTGCCCGTCAGTTCTCCCTCCGTTGGCGGACGGAAGAGGAAGTCATCTCTGGCGCAGGTGAAAGCACCTGTGGCAACACGCGCTGTCCGCTTCACCTGCCGCGTAACATCGACCCCGACGACCCGTGCCCGCCGCTGAAGACGCTCGAACTCCCTTTCTCGTATGCTGAGGACGATCAGAGCAAGTCTGCGCTCGTGAAAGTTGTGCTATGCGACAAGTGCTGCAAGAAACTCGTGTGGAAGCGGAATAAGGAGAAGGAGAGACAGCGCGAACGAGCGGAAGCAGTGGTTGGAGGCGATAATAGAGGGGATGCCTCGCTAGTGGAGCCTGGGGACATGGTGCGTTGTATGTAATCTCAAATTTTGTCGCGCTTATGGACCAGTATATTGTCTTAAGCGGGCCGGAAGTTCAGAACAGGGCCACCGTCCTCGACGACACAGCGCTTCTCAGGAGAGACGACGGACGGATCGTTCGCGTTCGCGTTCACCGCGGCGTAAGAACCTTGACCAACGGCGAAGATCTCCACCTCGTTAACCTGTCTGGTCTCGTCAAAATGTATTCGTAAATGGAATCAACGCCCGCGGTTTGCTGCATGTCATATTGACATACGCCTCTGCCTGAGCGTTATCTGGCGTGCCAAACACTTTCCTAAATGCTACTTGTACGGGCAATGACTTCTCAAAGCGCGTTTATCTTTAGATGTCAATCTCAAGTTTTTGGCACTCCCAGGTGACTTATTCTTCCACCGCCACGCTTCACTCGGGGCGCACAAGCCGCTCTTTCTAAGCCATTCCTCCTAAAGTATCCTTTGTCTTCAGTATAGAGTTCGACATGTTCGTGGACACAGGCTTAACGGGACTGGTACCTGCTGCGATGCCGAATGCTGTTCGGTCATGTAGTTTGGCATAATCAAACTCCACAGTGCCCGCCGGTTGCTTACGAGCCTTTGCGGCCCTCATCTCTCAGCTGGCGGAACTTTGTCCCAGTCGCAGTACGACCACTCTTCACTGGCGGTTCAGAACAATTACACTGGCATAAAATGCATAACTTAACTTCCTCAAGTAAGTAACCAAGTGGTATAAAATCTCGTAGCTGGCGACGCTCATCAGCTCTCCAGCTCGAGGACGAGTCTCCCGCCACGGTTATAATCTTCGTACAGGTGGAAGGTGTTGACCTTTGGGCTCGCGTCCAACTTGGCGAGGTCCCACTCTCCAAGCAGTCCCGTCCGGATTTCTGCATTAATAATATCTGTCTCTGTATGGGAGATCGGCGCCTTCATGTTTGCTTCGCGTCTGAGGTGACTTACCCTGGTAGCCTTTGTAGGAGTATGCACGCATCTAGTGGACAGCATAGTACGTGTGAGTACCAGCTACATTCCCACATGCCTTCGCTAACCTTCGGAGTGAAGCCCACCGTCATGGTAGCGCTATCGCTTATATCCTTCCAGAGGAGGACGGGCAGGAATCCTGTCGTGCCCTCCACAATTCCTGTGACGCTTTCGGTTTCTCAGGGGAATGAAAGAAATTTTCACGACCCACCAAGCATAAAGTCCTGCCTGCGTTCACTGCTGTTGAGGGCCACAATCTGGCCTTTGCCAGGTGCCGGCTTAGGCGTTGGTTCTGACCACATGATAAAGTCATCCTTGTCTTCGGTGAAAACGGACTGAGCCATATGTCAGGGTTGGGAAAAATCGTCAGTCACTCATGCTCTTGCGCACCGTTTGTCCCAGCTAAGACGCGTAGTTGTTATTGTGAGTCCTCCTTCACATGTTCATGTTGGCTTTCACCTACTCCGATCTCGATGAAGCTACAAGAGACACGGCAGATCAGCCAGCTAGACCTTGTTACGGTACAACGTACGCACGTCTGGGGGATTTGAGACCTTCCGGCGTCCTGCGATGGATTACGTTGATTATTAAGACACGATCGAACTCGTAGCCATCCACACACAATTTGCCCAACGGCAGCGCCCAGTCTGGCGGTATATGTGACGCTGACGGTTTGTGTCTCTACAAGTTAAATGAGCTAGAGCCGGGTCATCGAGCGCGATGCTGGCGGCATACGATTGGCAGCAAACTTGAGAAGCTTCGAAAAATGGTAAGTGCTGATTTCTTTTGAAACTCGCGGATTTTCTGACCTTCCAAACAGCGGGAACTAGACGCCTGATAGGTCAGCCTCTGCCTTCGAAACGGGTGCATGCACTTACATCGCTTGCTGTACAGGCCGTCCGGGTCAAGTGGGACGAACATCAGGATGATAGTTGTGTTCTCGCTTACGCCCTCAGCCTTGGTGGCGATGAATGAAAGGTTTCGAGTGGCCATGTTCACTTTGCTGCTTGGTTTAGTGGCTAGTCGGCGTGAGTCCGAAACTTGCGTTTCTATGGTTCCCCCGAGACAATATACCGCGTAGGGTCGCCCCCACACCATCATGCAATGCAGTTCAACGACTTGCCGATTGGTTTTATCCTCCGTTCCCCTGGATAATCTACCGGTGTTTGTTTGCAATTGACTGGTTGACATATTCCTCCGACGCCGGGGTATGGAGAACCCCCGCACATCGGAGTGTTCAGCCTCCGGAGTCTGTTTGCGCTCTGCTGATCTGCCTCTTTGCCCGACACTCGACCAGGTACAACCCAGTTCAGTTTACGGCTGCCTCTGCGCCGGTTATTCACACGAGCCACTAACGGAGCTGGCAACCCATTCCGGAGACGTCTCGGGATAGGATTCTAGATGGGCGCCTGGGTGCTTCAAGGCGTCCCGTCCGCATAAGATCCATTCACCCCGGCTGCTCATCCGTGCCAGTAAATTTTGGCACACAGACCTACCGGCGAAGCAGATGGGACACTCGCATCTCGGGAATAGATCATTCGTCTCAGCGTCTGTTATGCGAATTCGTCCCCGTCCTGTCCGATGACTCGCGAACACTGGCAGGCCTCATAACGAAGCCGGCCTCACTGGCCCTCGCATCGCAATAAGATGTTGACCTCCCTGCTAGGATTTGCAGAATGTTCTTCGCGCGACTGTAGCCCTACGGTTGTTGACATTCGAGAATTACTGCACCTAGACGCGATGGCGGCGTCACACAAACCAAAACAGCTACGTCCCATATGGTACTGTGTTATCTCTAAATCGGTCGGAAAGGCCACAGATGCATTGTAACTTCACGATCACAGAATAGCCTTCCAGCCGGTTTCGCAAGTTGTCGGTCATCGCGTAGTACTACACGACTTGTAAGCGTCTGTTCGACTGTGTTCGGCACTCTGTGGTTTATCATCGAACGTGGTATGCTCATTCCACCCTAGCATAGGCTGGGGGAAAGCCTTTGTCTTCTTAGGCTATAATGATAATTGGAGAGATCATTGTCGTCTCTTCCACCAGCAATTCCACGGCCAAGCGATCCAGAAGTACCAACATAAGATAGTCAAGGAGGCCAGGAAGCTTACTGTTGGTCTTCTCACAACTGACGACCTCACGAAGAGCCTTCGTCTGTAAGTCATGATACGCAGCTTACTTCTGGAGACTAACAGACCCTTCCGTATCAGGATGTCGGCGGTGACTATACTAGACGTCACCTATGGGATGGAAACTCAACATGACAACGACCCGTACATCGTTCTTGCTGAGAAAGCCACGCACTCGATAACGCGAGCTGGAACTCCAGGGTCGTATATGGGTAAGCCAGCCTTTAGTCACAACATCTGGAATATCTCATCAACAAGTCATTAGTCGAATTCGTACCATCGAGTAAGTTGCTTTCTCATTCATAGTACTAGAGCGCGTAACTTATTGAGATAGTGCGGTACATACCATGGTGGGCTTCGGGACGTCTGTTCAAAGTAGAGGCGGCAGAATGGAGCGAAGCAGTATCTGCGATGTTCACAAAGCCGCTCGAGCTCGTCAAGAAAGCGATGGTAAATGCTGTTCTATATAATAATCCATCTGTTAGGTATTGACACAGCGATTTATTACCAGATACAAGGAACTGCATCGCCTTCCATTGCCATGACCCTCCTAGGAAAACTAGAAGACAATAGAGAAAGCTCGAATTCCGAACGCCTCATCCGGAACATCGCGGGAATGGCGTACGTTGGTAAGTACTTTGACCGACCTCTAAATGGCACAACCTCTAATATCTGCAATTGGAGGGGTTCTGATACAGTGAGTCTGTCATACTACGGTGATTTTCTCAGAAGCTTAATTCTCCATCAGACTACGACAGCTCTTGGAACCACCGTGCTCGCCATGATCACGAACCCCACTGTACAGGCAGTGGCCCAGGAGCAGATTGACCGTGTTGTTGGAAAGGACAGTCTTCCGGACTACACATATCGCGAATCCTTACCCTACATCATTGCCATCATGTACGAAGTTCTGAAGTACGAGTAGAACGTACCTCAGCAGAGATGGCGAGATGCATTGCGCTCACCCTACTGGCCCTAACAGATAGCGTCCTACAGCTCCATTGGGTGCGTTGTTTATAGATCCACTATCAGAGGAGCAATACATTCACATCGTATGACGTATACAGCAGTCCCACATAGAGCGGTTGCGGACGATGAATACCAACGCTACCATATTCCCGCAGGCGCCATCGTGGTAGGGAACTCATGGTGCCCGATCCTTTTTACCTCCTGTTTCCTATTCGTATTCATACATGTCCCCGAATACTAAAGGCAATCATGCATGACCCGGTCCGCTTCCCGTACCCGGACACCTTCGATCCCACTCGCTGGCTCACACTGGACGGGCAGCTCAGCCAGGCCACGTCGGACGCCATGGCTGCATTCGGCTTCGGCAGGCGGATCTGTCCGGGGAGGCACTTCGCTATGGAGTCTGTCTGGATTGCCATGGCGCACATCCTCGCCATGCATAATGTTGAAAAGCTTGTGGACGAGTCTGAGAAAGTCGTCGAACCGAGCGGAGAGTATACACCTGGATTGGCATTGTAAGTCTGGTTTAGCTTGGCGATGACGAGTGTCTGGCGACTCACTAGCGAATATCTGATTAGGTATCCTGTTCCGTTCAAGGCGATCTTCAAGCCTCGGTCTGCAGCGGCGCGTAGCCTCATTCAATCTATGGCTCTCGATGACCAATGTATGCATTTCATCGCTCAACGACAGCTCCAGTAATGCAGAAATAGTTCCATTCACACATGTACATGAAGATTAGTCTGTTACAGGCTTACGGGGGACAAGGGTGCTGTACGCTCTGAAATGAGAATAAACGGAAGTGTCTAGAGCTGCTCTCTTGCACGTGGACGCCGCTCGTCTGCGGTTTACATAGCTCCAAGGTACCATAGCGCGGTTCAGCCAGGGGTCCTGTCACGTAAACTGTCGTTGTCTTCCAAGAGTGCGTTGTCAGCTGGTACCTGATAACGATACTTCGTCCCGCTTGCCGCTTTCAAGCTGCCCATGTGAGGACCTCAGATCAGTGATAACGTCCAAGCTTAGTCGGTGTCTCGACTTCTATAGTCCATGGTATGAGCATGTACCATTCAAAGCACGACAGCCTATACATGAGCACAAGGGGGGAAATCCAGATATCCGGGTTTGGGATCGCTAAGATGCAGCAGCAGCCGTATTTTTAGGAGCCGCACCAGCACCAGCACCAGCAGGTGCATTGTTGCCTCCTTGCTGCTTGACACAACCATTCAGCTCCGAATGTGTCTGGAAACGCAAATGTGCTCACCGGCTGCCCAGCTGGCCACTCTGCAATGCAAAAAATGTCCCCAAGCTTGCACCACGCCTCCTCCCGCCGTCCATTAATGAACTTCCTGAGGACTTTATCGCAGTGTCTGCAAGGTTTCGCGTTCGGCTTCTCTTTAGCGGTGTCTAACCACGCATCCATGCCGTTGATCGGCGAAGGTTCATGGTAGAAGTCAGCGTCCAGCGCGGCGAAACTCAGGTTTTGGAACGTGAGGAGACATTGTGGTCGTGTGGTGCAGTTGGCAGGGTATCCTGCCAGCTGCGAGCTCGTGGAAAACTCGCATAACCTTCTTTGTCTCTTTCATGAGTGCTTGACGACCCTCGAGGTACGTGTGCAAGTCTTCCTCGCTGATATGGCCGAACTCTGGACCATCCCCGTGGTTGACGCCCCATGATATCGCTGCCATCTCTTCAATGTTGCAGCATGTGTAGAATACCAGTGGAAGTATCGAATTCATGTTCAAGAGGCGTGCGATGCTGAGGACGTCGATGCAGTCGTCTCTGACAAGCGCGATAGGTGTCTTGTCGCCGTCAGGTCGAAGATCGGGGTCCCAGTCGTCTACGCTGCCTGTAGGAAATACTTGCGACAGCCTGTATATCGGCTCGTTGATGATTTCCTTGACCTTGTATTTCACGGCGACAGCCACGACCACGCGGAACTCGGTATAATCAATCGGTGGTCTTAGACTGTCCAGCCAGTTACTACACCCAACATTGTTATAAGCATCTTAAGACACTCATAATATGAAGTTAACGCTCGCCTGTTTCCTCCATTGTATATAATAGCGAGCAGATATTCGAAGTCGCGGCCTTCGTCCTCCACGCGCAGGACAGGGCAGCCCTCCAGCTTCTCTGGAAGCTGCGCAAGGGCCGGGCCGTTCAAAAGTTCTTTGAAAACCTCAGAACGAAGCATCAAGACACTTGCGTGTACCTTGAAGGCCCTGTCCTTGGCTGCGACAATGACACTGCCGTCGTCAAACCAGAGGTCCTTGGACCGCTC